TCTGCTTTTCTCCTTTTTTTTTTTTTTTTTTTTTTTTTTAGCATTCAACCATACATCTTTATTGCCTTATTTTAACATTTCTCCAATTAAAAGGGTTACATCAGAAGGCATTATTCCTGAGAAATGAACTTTCATCATTTTGGCACAGGAAATCAAACCCAGAGCACATGTATGCTAACCAAATAGTCTACAATTTTGATCAATACCCCCAGCCCCAAGAAATGAACTTGAAATTGTCTTAAATTCTCAACTTTACTGTACACCTATTACCATGTGGACCCAACATGCCTGTTTAGGAGCAAAAATTCAACACCATCTAAGTTATAGACATCTTTATTTTTAAATCTCATCTGCCAATTTAGCGTTTTCCACCAACTCGGGGAGCAGAAACCTTCACAGGTTTCACAATCTTTTGCTTAGGTGCTGCCTTTGTGGGAGCCTTAGCAGCAGCCATTGCCGTCTTTTTAGATGCCTGCTTAGCCTTTTTTGCTTCCTTGGCAGCCCTAATAGCTTGCTCTCGTTGAGCCTTTCTAACTTCTGGTTTCTGATTCCTCTTGGCCATGATATCAGCAAGGGATGCACCAGTGATGGCCCTCTGAAATTTGACTGCACGCCGGGTTCTCTTCTTTTGAATTTCTTCTGACTGGCCCTTTTTGTGCTTTCTTCTGTAGAGGACAGTCCAGTTTATCTGCCGAGGATTCCTCTTGGATAGGAAAGCCGACTCGCATTTTGCATTAAGAAATTGGAAAACCTTTCCGTCGGTCCTGGCGTAGCGCCTCCCGTGTCCGGGGTATATCTTGTACCCGCTAAAACTACACAGCTCGACCTTCATGGCGACGGCTGCTGGGATAAAGGGACGACAGCGAAGAGAAGGCTGCTTTTCTCCTTTAATATGAAGCCCAAAGATAGGGCTGCTTGTTAATAGTATTTCACAGGCCATCAAGAATCCTGGCTTCTTCACATACCACTCTGCCATATCTAGCATATACTTCTTTTCCTTATGGTTACAAAACAGCTGCACTGCCACCATAAATTACATCCTCACTTTAGGCAGGAGGAAAATAAAGAGAAGAGAAATGAAGAGGAGGCAGTTGAGTCATCCCAGACAGATTTTGCTTATGTCTCATTAGCTAGAACTTAGCAATACAGCTAAATCTAGTTGCAAGAGGCCTAGAAAATATTCTTTAATTTTCCAGGGCACATAACTGCACTGAAGTTATATTTGTTTTAGTAAGAAAAAAAGGAAGGCATGGTATTGAGTAGTCCACTGGCAGTGTCTGCCCCCTCTGTTTACAAGTTGAAAAGAATGAATGTTACCCATATTCATCAATGTGGATAAATTTCAAAAGCACCATTTGGGTGAAAATCTAAGTAACCAAGTAATATCCAAAGTATGACACAATTTATATAATTTTTTAAAAAGCTACATACAGAACAATAGATCTTTTATGATTATCTATGTAGGTATTAAGAAGCCAAGTTCTGAGATTAGTAAGAGAAATAGTTGTGAACATATTTTTATGAAGTTATATGTGGGCAGATACCAAGTGTCTAGTTGCAATGGTTTTCTGTTTTTGGACTCTTTTCTGCTCCAAACTTCTTAAATATAAAAGAATGTCCCCTGAGGTGACAATCTAATTAAATCGATATAATCATTTTCCAAGAATGAAATCTGTCATTTAAAATCCATAATAAATATTTTGAAGAGAAAAATAATAAGGAAATACAAATAGAGATTTGCTTTTGGCAATCTATTAAAATATTTAATTTTGAGTAAGAATGAAATTGTTAGTGGCTTATGTTATCCATATGCCCCCTGAACTCTGAAATTCTTGTGGAGGAAATTACAAAGATGAAAAGTAAATGCCATTTGATACAAGAAGACAATTGGATTTTTTTTTAGTAATATGTGTTGTGTCATAAAACTGTGTTATGAAAATACATTGTTGCCCAGAGGTGATAAAAGTCTGTAAAGTTCTTTTCCACTTCCTAAATCAAGTTTAAAGCTGAAAGTATTTATTGGTAGCAATAATGCAATGATCAGGGCCAGTGTAACTGAATAAAACATTTATTTATGTTGAGAATTACCCTTAAAATTTCTACCATTTTTAATATATTTATTCAATAAACCTTTATTCAATACGGTTTCTACATGAGGGGTTTTGACAGGTACCGGGAGTTCTCATATTATACAGTTATTTCTTTAGAACTTAAGGAACTAATGGAGAAACAGACATGTACAGTATAATAAAAGTAAAAAATAGAGTCAGAAGAGGGCCTATGGCTGCCTTCGCAATGGGATGATGGCAAGACTTAATTCAGTTAATGACTCAATCAATCAGCAGGAAATGGGAGGCACTTCTGAAGCAAGATAATTTAAGATTGGATGAATAAAGGACCATATGCAAAGGGTGGCCAGCAACGAAGAAAGGACAGAGCATAGTGCAATCCAGGGCTGGGGGTGGTACCGGCCCTAGGCTCAAAGTGAAGAGGGAGGGCAGAAATGGTCCACTTCCTCCCTCCTCAGACCTGAATGCAGCCAGAAGTCCGAGGACTTGGCCACTCCCAGGGTCAGTCAGGCAGGTGACTCTCTTGGGAAAGAGAATAGGGTGGAGAAAAGCCAGGTATGGGTCTGGGGCCCACGCCAATACTCAGAAGCATGGTTCTATCTGGCCCTGGAAGAATAAGAAGGAGCTCACTTAGAGGACTTTGCAGAGTTGGGGAGGGTGGAGGTAAGGCAGGTGAGGATATGCCATTTTCCTGGGTCAGGAAACTGCACAGAGGAACAGAAGAAGGAGAAACTTTTCTTTCAGGCTTTAATGTGACTGAAATTTAGAGAACATTAGTGTACTGGGATGTGCTACAGAATGAATCCCACCATTATGTACCATTTTCATGCACCAATAAAATATGAAAAAAAATATAAAAAGACAGTAGGGAAGACAACCTTTTTTTTTTTTTTCCTGTTTTGGGCGAAAACTCTAGATGTTAAAATGACCAAATTTCCTGAGTAAAAAAATTCACTTTCTCTTTATAACCACGCACTAATGAACGTTGCATTATATATTGCAATACTTTTGCCTCTGTATTTATTCTCCCTCTTTCTGTCTTTCTTATATCAGGGGAAACTCAACCCTTTGTGTGAGGGTTGAACATTGCTGTGTGTGCTTCTGGGCTGCACGTATACCTGTCTGCATGTGTGCGTGTGCTGCGGACCTCTTTAGCAGCCAAAGACTATAGATTCTTTTTCAACATAATCTTTCAAATATTTAAAATGTAATATATAGGATCATAGAGGAGACAATTATGTTAACATACAGTTCTGAGAGATCTAAAAATTGTGATGAAGTAAAATATGAGCTTTATTAATGCATTAAGTAGCATGTTCTTCTGATGGGTCTATTAACTATCATAATTTTAGCATCATAATGTAAGCAATAAACATAGAAAATATGCTGAGAAAATAATTGTAATGTTAAATGGCAATATTTGTAACTTCTACCAGTGACAAAGTGATAATTGAAGACCATGTTAAAATCCACTTAGAGGTCAATAAAACTCAAGATATGTATACTTTTTTCTATTCAAGTTTGGAAACTCTGAAGGTCTGTGGGCCCCCTCATTAAAAACCCTGGTTTTAAAGTATACTTACAATATGTATCTCTAAACAAGACAAATGAATTCTACAATGATTAAGTTTACCAAAACAGGATGGATGCCAAACAGAGAGAGCAATTTTTAAAACGTTAAAAAATTCTGTAGAAAATGCAGTAATCCCTAAATGGCTAGTCACGAAATGCCACAATGCAATAGCTGAAGATTTCATCTACTATTTCATGGAGACAGCCCATAACACACAGTGATACTCATGGAATAATATACTCAGTTTAATGTAATAAAAAACCCATGACTGCTAAATTGCTACAGTGAAAAATGTAACCTCTTTTTTATGACAGAGCTTTAGCCAATTACAGTCACTGTTAATTCTTACAATTGGATGCAAGTCATGCCTTATTTCAGGGAATAGGCTACAAAGATATTATCTTCCATTAAACATTGTTACAGATGTACTACTAAAAGCTTTTTGTTGAAGTAAAATATAAATAAAGACAAGCTCACATGTCATCAAATTAGGGTTCTCCGAGAACCAGAGTGGCTTCATCTGATGATGGAGTCTAGCAAGTGTAAAGTCTGCAGAGTGGGCTGGCGTCTGGAGATCCAGGGAAGAGCCAGTGTTGCAGGTTCAAGTCTCCAAGCTGTCTGCTGGAGAATTCCTTCTTGCTTGGGGAAGGTCACTTTTTGGGTTGTGTGGGCCTTCAGTGGATTGCATGAAACCCACCCATATTTTAGACTCTGATCAGCTTTACTCAGTCTACTATCTCAAATGTTTATCTCATCCCAGACACCCTCTAGACACCCAGAAAGCTCTTTGACCAAATATTTCAGCACTGTGGCCCAGCCAAGTTGACATCAAATTAACCACCACCATCATATATGTCCAGCTTCCCCAATGTTCATGAACTGAATGTACCTGTATACCAGCTTCCTAATTAAATAACAATGTGAACAGAAATTCAACAACCCCTCCCCTCCCCCATGCTCTCTCCCAGGGAGTGTGTCCATACCAGTGCTAATGATATTGACAGGATGCTCTGAGTTTTCCTTTTTGTATTTCCTGTAAATGGAATCACATGACAGGTACCCCCTAATTGCTTTTTTTTTCCTTAGCATCATGCTTGTGTGCTCCAGCCATACTGCTGTGCATCATTATACACTATTTATTTTCAGAACTGCTGAGATTGCATTGATTGGATGTACTGTACTTTGTCCTACCATTCACAGGCATTTAGCTAATATGAACAGCAATGAGAAATTCTAATGCATCTCTTTTGGTGAATGTATGTGAACATTGCTATTGAGTCTATGCCCTCATGTGGAATTGCTTAGTCATTGAAAGTTGGCATATTCAACTTATTTATTTATTCTTTTTAGATAGACCTGGCAGCAGAATGTATTTGGACATATTTTACATACATGGAGTATCACTGATTCTAATTAGGATTCCATTCTTGTGGTTGTTCATGATGGGGAGTTTCACTGGACGTGTATTCGTTTATGAACACAGGAAAGTTACGTCCGATTCATTCCACTGTCTTTCCTATTCCCATTCCCCCTCCTTTCCCTTTATTCCCCTTTGTCTTATCCAGTGAACTGGCATATTAAGCTTTGAAAAAGACTGACAAGTATTTTCAAAAGTGATGGTATGAATTTACACTTCTGCCAGAAATAAAAGTTCTCTGATTGTTCTAAATACTAATTAATGCTTGGTATTTTGGATCATTTTTTATTTTGGCCATTCTAGTGTATGTGTTATGTACTAGGTTGTTTTAATTTGACTTCCCGGAATAGTCAATGAAGTTGATGATCTTTCCATGGTCATTGCACACTTGGATTTGCAAGTTCAAAAAGATACTGCACACTTTGAATGACTGGCTCAAGAATTTTGTCTATTTTTCTATTAGGTTTTCTCATTCTTTATGAGTTCTTGGTTGGACTTTATATTGAAAATATACTCTCTGTTATGGTTGAGATGTAAGGTGTCCCCCAAAAGCTCAGGTGTGAGACAATAGGAGTTTACAGGTGAAACGACTGGGTTATGAGAGTTTTAACTAATCAGTGTATTAGTCATTTGATAAGGTCCAACTGAGTGGTGGGGTGTGGCTGAAGGAGGTGGGACCCTGGAGACATGCCTTTGGGGTTTATATTTTGTTCATGGTGAGGAAAATTCTCTCTCTCCTTCTCTGCTTCCTGGTGCCTGTCCTGTTCTGTTTTCCTCTATCCTGCCTCACCTTGACCTTGAGGAATAGAGTTGGCCATGTA